GGCCTGTTGTGAGCTGACGCGATGACGCGCGTTCTTTGCTGCCGCTGCTCGTGCTCGCCCGCGCCGATATGCACCTCGGGCCGGGCTGACTAACGCCGAGCCAGGCCGAGCCGGGCCGCCGGTCTGTCTCACTGGCTCGTATCGATCGCGGCCACCTGGGCCCACTCGAGCGCACAGGCGTCGTGTCGTGTCTCATTTGCGCCGGCAGGCCGCTCGGTCAGCAGGCGCTGTGGTCGCAGTCATTCCGCTTGGTCGATTGGCCCACTCGGGCCGACACCATCGCCCGGCCCCGGCTGACTCGTGAGTCGGATCGCCTGTCCGTCTCACGACGAGCGTGGCCCTGGTGCGCGCTGGCACTGTGCTACTTATATCCACTAGTAGTAGACTTTTAGACTTGCAATATATGCATTTAAAAAATACGATAAATGCACCATTTGGCAGCAGCCACACATCCACTCACGGTGTGCATTATTCTGCCGAAAAAGCACTATCGTTTAGTGGCCGATATTCTGACAAAAAGTTGGCGGAAGGCTTTTTGTTTTTGCTATGAACGACAAGACAGTAAATAATGAAAGGAAGTGAAGTGACAATGGATTTGTTGATTAGGTTTACCATCGCAAGAATGCACTCTTCATCTTCACGCCAATCCACATTTTGGGTAGTTTTCGTTTATGCGTATGTTTTCGAGATCACTACTAGATCATATGCATGCGATGCATTCACCATATTCCATTAACAGTAATGTAGGATTGACAGCTGAATTTTCCTACAATCATGTGAGCCGGCCTTACGGTTTAGTTGACTTACACATTACCAGGCAGAGCGGTCTGTAGGTTCAACTTGGCCAAACTAGTCAGGCCTGTATTCCCAGCGGAAATCGAAGAAAGATAGTGCAGTCCCTCATCACGACACACTGGCATAAGTGCTCTTGTGTCACAGGGCAGATGTGAATGATGTGAAGAAAAGTCGGGTCTAAAGGCATCTTTTATTCCATAAATGTTGGGCTTGATTTCATTTCAAGTTACTTTGTTCGGTCAAGTGATTCGAAGTATCGGCCCACCAGAAAAAGCGGCAGACTCCTCGTGACCAGTTGTCGTTTGGCTTGACTGGAACAGTCTTGCTGATGCTGGTTCAGAGGCAATCTCCTCCGATTCCGCCGAAAACGTGCGAAGCTTTCGACCGTCGTAGGATGAACATCATCAAAGTAGAGTATCATCTTTAGAACCAAATTCAACCTAACGAGTCAGGAAAACTCACCGGCTCATCCCTAAAATGCTTTATGCATACTCTACATCTGAGTTATGTGACGAGGTGTAAAGTGATTTGTTTGGTTCTGGTCATATGTCATGTGAACCTGTTTGTCTGTGTATGTGTATGCACCTGCATGTGTTCGCAGGTCTCTGTTATTTTATCAAGAGGAATTTATCATATTGCGGAATATGGCGGACGGTTAAGCGTAAAGGATGGATAAGATTCACACATGATTAAAAATGAATAAATTTAGGCATTAAACCCATTTTAAAGAATATGCGATCAAATAAGGATGTAGTTAAACTTAATGCAAATTGTTCTAGTAAAAATAGATAAATTTGGCAAGGAGTCTAAACTATGCCTTTCCAAATGGAGATAGTTGTTGAATAGGTTGTTAACTTAGCAGACAAGTTGCCGTAGGATGTTAAGAATAGTATAGGAAGAGAAGTGATTCCTCATTTTGATGAGGTAATTATGCCAAATAAATCTTATGATTTGTATAATTTTTCTAGATATTTGCACCAAAATGATTTGTTCATTTAGAAGGCAGATAAAGGTGGTACAGTGACCATCATGGATAGGTTGAGATATTTTATAAAAAATGATGCTTCATTCAATTGACTCGGAAACTTACAAACTTTTAGTGAACGATCCCACGGAGAGTCTTCAGGCCAGACTTAGGGAATCGCTTAACTTTTGTGTAAGCAAAAGAGAAATTGAGAAGTGGAAAATGAATTACCTTCTTTAGATAGATGCTGGGGCACATTCGGCTTACGGCCTTCCAAAAGTACACAAGGAAGGAGTTCCTTTAAGATTGATCGTTAATAACAAGAGTACTGTGATGCATAGAATATCTTACATTTCTTATGAAGACAACTAAGGAAACTGGTTGATTATTGGAAATATTCAGTGAAAAATTCATATGAATTTGTTAGATTGATAGTTCAACGGAATATTAAAGAGGAGGATCTTTTGGTTAGTCTCGATGTGGTATGAATATATACTTACATCCCAGTTCAGAAAGCATCAGCGCTGAGTCTGGATGAGCACCCAGAAATTATTGAGGAAGCAAATCTGAACAAGCGCTCAATCGTAAGACTACTTAATATATTTATGAGTAGCACATATTCACCTTTAATGATAAGGTTTATGAACAGGTGCAAGGCCTAGCTATTGGATCTTGTTTGGCTCCCGTTTTAGCGAATATTTACTTGTCAAGAATGAAGGAACACTTCATGCAAGAGATGAGAACGACTCGAAAACTGTTATTTAGATAAATGGATGAATACTGGCCATATAGCAACATGGTGAGGATAGTTCTTGTTCTTAATTAACCAGATTGACTGCAATGTTCAGTTGACAATGGAAATAGAGAAAGACAATAATTTACCTTTTTTAGATGTTTTATTGATCAGTGTAGGTGAAAAGTTAAGCAGGGATGTATACAGAAAGCAAACACAAACTGGCTTTATCCTTAACTTATTCTCCAAGCTTAGTTACAAAACAAAGGTTGGAGACCAGTTCGATAATGAACAATATCTGCTCGAATAAATATGTCTTGACAATAATTATCTTCCAGGTCCGATTGAAACTAAAAAAAGACTTATAAAGAATACAATTTTGAATGGTGAACACGTGAGGAGAGATAAGAAGACTTTTTTTTCATGTTTTGTCCTTGCCTGCGGGCACTCTCTCTAAAAGGATAGGCGAAGTAGTAAGGAAGAGGAAAATAAAAACGGTCTTCAGGGAAACTATGAAACTCTTCAGTTATGCCCCCTTTTGGAGAGAAATTTGACCCATTGTCCAAATCGGGTTGCTAAAACAATGCGTTCATGTGGTCGTTTTTGTGTAGGATGGACATGTCGTCTCATTCGACAAAGGCTGGCAGAGCACAAAAGCGCCTGTAGAGGCCGTCGGGTTAAAGAAATGAGGATTAGCTGAGCGCACGGCAGAAACTGGGCATGAGATGGAATGGTCTAAAACTTCTCGTTTTGCCAATCATGGCATGTCTACGGCCAAACGTGAAGTTGGAGAGGCCATCGAAATAAATCTTCGAATGTAAGAAATACCGGCGAGAAGTTAAGTAGAGGCGACTCAACCAGTCGTTTCTTGTTTTGGTTCTAACCACACTCACTTGCCTACTTTTCAGCCCACTCTTTCTCACTCGCATGAAGACAAAAAGCTCATCAGCATAACCATACGTTTGCCCGACATTACACAATCGGATGGTTAAAACTTGTATGTAAAGAAAAGAGGTGATGGTGGTCACCAGACCTTGATGGCCAAGAGCAGACGCTACTTTGGCTGTCTTAACTACATTCATCCCTCACTGCTGGCTTTGTACACATGCAAACACATACAAAGATAGACACACTCACATGCTTTGAGGTTGACATTTGACTGGAACTAACCAAAAACACTTCATATCTCATCAAAGAGGTCAGGCATAGATTATACATACAGCATTTTACATATGAGCCGATTAGTTTTCTTTATTGTTGAGCTTACTTCCATTTCGAGTAGAAGTGTTGGGTGAAGAGATTCGAAGGTCGGTTCCACCAG